CTACTCCGCGACGCTCTTGCCTCTCGACTCGGCCTCAACTCACGTTGAATCTATCCAAAATCAGAATTTTAACATCAATATATGCTAAGGGAACGAAGCCCGTGCGAAAATAATCAAATTACATCAATAATCCCGAAATTGGCCCAACCCGACCCCCGGGCCCACGTCTCGAAATTCGATAAAATTCACATCAATAGAATCCTTATCCTCCCACGAGTTCATATATACAAAATACATCAAAATCCGACCACAAATGACCCCTCAAATCCTTAAATCAAAGTATCCAATTTCAATCCCTAATCCCCCAATTTTCTTCCTTAATTTCCACTAATACCATGATTAAACAATGGAAAAATGATCATAAACACAAGTAATGAGGCTTAAGAAGCTTACCCAACTGAAACCCTTCGATTCTCTTGAAAAATCACTGCCCTAGCTCTCTTCCCGTCTTCAAAAATGGCAAAACTTAGCAAAAATTCGCGAAGGCATCTATTTATATGTTCTGCCCAGCGATACCGCATCTGCGGTCCAATCCCGCATCTGGGGGACCGCTTCTGCGCCTATCCAACCGCTTCTGCGGTTTTTCATTTGAATTCCCAAGCCGTACCTGCGATGCAATACCCGCATCTGCGGTCACGCAGGTGTGTTCCTTCATCCGCACCTGCGACTTCTGCCTTCTTCACTTGTGGCCGCATCTGCGGCTGATTCTCGCTTTTGCGATCATCGTACCTGCGATCCCCTAACCGCAGGTGCGGTTATGACAGAACCAGCAGCTTTAGCTGCATCCTCTAATTCCCAAACTTTCCATTGACCATCCGAAATCATCCCGAGGCCCCCGGGACCTCAACCAAAAATACGAACAAGTCATATAACACTATTAAAACTTATACCAATCCTCGGAACACTAAAAACGACGCCGAAACACCAAATCACCCTCAGATTCAAGCCTACGGATTCCAAAACTTCCGAATTCCGCAAACGATCAAAAAGTCTATCAAACCTCGTCCGAATGACCTGAAATTTTGCATATACGACATAAATGACACCACGGACCTACTCTAATTTCCGGAATTCCATTCCGACCCCCATAACAAAATCTCCACTACCAATCGAAAAATGTCAAAATTCCAATTTCGCCAATTCAAGCCTAAATCTACCACGGACCTCCAAAATACATCCGATCACGCTCCTAAGTACCAAATCACCTCCCGAATCTATCCAAATCATAAAAACCAAATTCCGAGATCGTTTTCACACAAGTCTACTTCCGGTTGACTTTTCCAACTAAAAGGCCAACTTAAGAGACTAAGTGTCTCATAACACTTCAAAACTACTCCAAACCCGAACCTACCGACATGATATGATGAAATGAAGCTGAACAACACATAAAGAAGCAGAAATGGGGGAAACAGAGCGGTAACTCGTGAAACGACCGGTCGGGTCGTTACATCCTTCCCCTCTCAAACAAACATTCGTCCTCTAATGAGCCAAGAAACATTCATGAAACCTCAAATAGGCGAGGATATCTGCTTCGCATCTCCCGCTCGGTCTCCTAGGTAGCCTCCTCCACGGGCCGACCTCTTCACTGCACTTTCACTGGAGCTATATCCTTTGATCTCAACTTTCGAACCTGACGCTCCAAAATAGCCACTGGCTCCACATCATACGTCAAATCACCATCTAACTGAACTGTGCTGAAGTCCAAAACATGAGACAAATAGCCAATATACTTCTGGAGCATAGAAACATGAAACATCGGATGCACACTCGACAAGTTGGGTGGCAAAGCAAGCTCATAAGCCACCTCCCCAATCCTCCGAAGCACCTTAAAATGCCCAATGAGCCGAGGACTCAATTTACCCTTCTTCCAAAATCTCATAACACCCTTTATGGGTGAAACCTTCAGTAGAACCTTCTCCCCAACCATGTAAGACACATCCCTTCCTATCGGCATAACTCTTTTGTCTCGACTGCGCTGTACGAAGTCACTCCTAGATCACCTTCACCTTGTCCAAAGCATCCTGCACCAAGTCTGTACCCAAAAGCCTAGCCTCACCCGGTTCAAACCAACCAACTGGAGATCTACATCGTCTCCCGTATAAAGCCTCATATGGAGCCATCTGAATACCCGATTGATAACTGTTGTTGTAAGCAAACTCTGCGAGCTGTAGAAACTGATCCCATTACCCTTCAAAATCAATGACACAAGCGCGCAACATGTCCTCCAATATCTGAATAGTGCGCTCGGACTGCCCGTCCGTCTGAGGGTGAAAAGTTGTGCTCAACTTAACCTGAGTACCCAACTCTCGCTGTACGGCCCTCCAAAACTGTGAAGTAAACTGAGCACCTCTATCCGAAATGATGGAAACTGGGACCCCATGCAGGTGAACAACCTCTCGGATATAAATCTCTGCTAACCTCTCTGAGGAATAGGTAGTACACACAGGAACGAAGTGCGCGAACTTGGTCAGCCGATCCACAATCACCCAAATAGCATCGAACTTCTTCAAAGTCCGTGGGAGCCCAACTACAAAGTCCATGGTGATCCGCTCCCACTTCCACTCTGGAATATCCATCTGCTGAAGCAAGCCACCCGGTCTTTGATGCTCATATTTCACCTGCTGACAATTGAGACACCGAGCTACAAATCCCACAATATCCTTCTTCATCCTTCTCCACCAATAATGCTGTCTCAAATCCTGATACATCTTCGCGACACCCGGATGAATGGAATACCGCGAGCCATGAGCCTCCTCTAAGATCAACTCCCGAAGCCCATCCATATTGGGCACGCATATCCGGCCCTGCCTTCTCAATACCCCATCATCACCTATACTCACATCTCTGGCATCGTCGTGTTGAACTCTGTCCTTAAGGACAAGCAAATAAGGATCATCATACTGGCGCTCTCTGATGCGATCAAATAAGGAAGATCGAGAAATCACACAAGCTAAGACCCGACTGGGCTCCGAAATATCCAACCTCACGAACCGATTGGCCAAGGCTTGAACATCAACTACAAGAGGTATCTCTCCAACATGAATATACGCCAAACTCCCCATACTCACCGCCTTCCTACTTAAAGCATCAGCCACTATATTGGTCTTTCCCGGATGGTACAAGATAGTAATATCATAATCTTTTAGAAGCTCCAACCAGCTGCCTCAGATTGAGATCCTTCTGCTTGAACAAGTGCTGGAGGCTACGATGATCAGTAAACACTTCACAAGATACACCATACAAATAATGCCTCCAAATCTTCAACGCGTGAACAATGGCGGCCAACTCCAAATTGTGAACAGGGTAATTCTTCTCATGGGGCTTCAACTGACGAGAAGCATAAGCAATAACTCTACCCTCTTCCATCAACACACACCCAATACCAACTCTCGAAGCATCACAATACACTGTATATGAACCTGAAGCTGATGGCAAAATCAACACCGGAGCCGTGGTCAAGGCAGTCTTGAGCTTCTGAAAGCTCGCCTCACACTCATCCGACCACGTGAATAAAGCACCCTTTTGAGTCAACTTGGTCAAGGGTGATGCAACAGATGAAAATCCCTGAACGAACCGACGGTAATAGCCTGCCAAACCAAGGAAGCTGCGAATCTCTGTGGCTGAGGACGCTCTGGGCCAACTCTGAACTGCCTCTATCTTCTTCGGATCAACCTGAATACCCTCGCTAGACACAATGTGTCCCAAGAAAGCCACTGAACTGAGCCAAAACTCACACTTGGAGAACTTTGTATAAAGCTTCTCCTCCCTCAATCTCTGCAACACAACTCTCAAATGCTCTGCGTGCTCCTCTTGACTACGCGAGTAGACCAGAATAACATCAATGAATACAATCACGAACGAGTTAAGATAAGGCCGAAACACGTTGTTCATCAAATGCATGAACGCTGCTGGGGCATTGGTCAGCCCAAAAGACATCACAAGGAACTCATAATGACCATATCGGGTCCTGAAAGTTGTCTTAAGAATATCCGAGTCCCTGATCTTCAACTGGTGATACCTTGAACAGAGATCAATCTTGAAGAACACTCTCGCTCCCCGAAGCTGGTCGAATAAATCATCAATGCGAGACAAAGGATACTTGTTTTTGATTGTAACTTTGTTCAACTGCCTGTAATCAATGCACATTCTCATCGTGTCATCCTTCTTCTTCACAAATAAAACAGACGCACCCCAAAGCGACACACCAGGCCGAATGAACCCCTTATCAAGGAGTTACTGAAACTGCTCCTTTAACTCTTTCAACTCCGCCGGTGCCATACGATACGGTGGAATAGAAATGGGCTGAGTGCCCGGCAACAAATCAATACCAAAGTCAATATCCCTGTTCAGTGGCATGCCCGGCAGGTCTGCAGGAAACACATCGGGAAAATCCCTCACTACAGGAACAGAATCAATACTAGGAGTTGTAAGCACGTAATTTTTGCCCTATATGAAATACTCCTAAAAAATCCAAGAAGATAGATTTTTTTTTATAATTATTTTCCATTTTTAGGAATTTTTGTAGATTTTATTAATTGGTTGCATTTTTCTTGCATGGTTAATTTTATTTAAATCATGAAAAAAATACCAAAAATGTCGCGCACTGCATTTAGGATCTAGTTTTATATTTTTAGGATTAACCAGTAATTATTTGTTTTATAAAAATCGAAAATCACAAAAATGCTTCATTTTTACACTTTTTCCTTTTATTGATTTTTTTCTCTCTCTCTTTTAATTTAGGATTAAGTAGTTTTTATAATTATTTTAATTTCACATTTTTAGATAATCTAGGATTTTAATTTCTAGGATTTTTAATTAAAAAAAAAAGAAAAAGAAATAAGGAGTTTATTTAATTGGGTTTAAATTCGGAACTTGGGCCATTTTAAAGCCAAAATCAGCCCAAATAAATGGCACCAAAATCTGTCCAACCCAAGCCCAATCTCCCTATCCAAATAGCCATTACCCTTTACCCTACCCAACATATAAAAAGACAATTTGGAAACCAGAAAATCAGATCAGACCCTTAGAAAAGAACGAAGCAGCGGCGCATCTGAGAGGAGATTCCTCTCCATTTTTCACTCAACAATAGAGATCTCCTCCTTAACCCAGAAAACTATCAGCCAATGCCTTTCTCTTTGACTCTCATATTTTCCCTCCTCTAACCATAACCTCACTCATACAAAAAAAAATAAAAACAAAGATCTGAAAGCAAATTTCTAGATCCGAAATTGCATCTCAAATCTGGAAACCGAAGCTTCACGAGAAATTAAAAAAAAAAAGGAAACAAAACAGAAGAATTTCTGAAAATTCAACTTCGATTTTTAGAAACACAAAAAAAGAAAGGAAAAAAAAAAGTTTTCATCAGCTGGGTTCCACTCTCGGATATCTGGATTTCAGTTTTTTCTAAATGTGAAGTTTGAGTTTTAACTTCAATTTCTGTTGCTCGCTGCTATATTATCAAGCTATGACTGAGTCGCGATTCGGAGGCTTATTTTCTTCCTCTTTATTCTGCTGTTGCGCCACTGTTTAGGTATGTACCTAATCGAAATTGTAACTTTGTATTTTTTTTTTTGGAATGAAATATAAATCATCAGATTTTGTTTATTGATTCACAAATTCGGTATGTTCTTTTAGGCTATAAAGTTGTTGGAGTTCTTCTTTGTTAATTTCTGATGTTAGCATGCGTTGAAGCTGCAATTCAAATTGCTAAGTGTTCATCAATTAATATAGAATATTGTATGGGTTAAGGCGAGTTTGCTTATATTGTTACAGATGATGCTATTGTGACTTACTTTTGTCCGCGTCATTTTTATCCATGAATCAGTGTATGTAAGGCATGGACATATAGGTTATACTTGTGCAAATATGTAGTTCCAGTGAATTTTTCTTTCTGTGCAGTACTCATTTAGCTTTCATATTTAGTGATCAAATGTGAATATTATATTTATTGGCTGGAAATCCATGAATTATTTAGAAAGTAGTCATGCCTAGCAATTATCTGATCCTAATTGTATTTGGTTGTCATTCATGAGCGGGCAGTACATCCAAGAATGTGAGATTATGCTACGTTGAGGTTTTTCCTTTATCCCAATTGTGCATTTTCTTTAGTTAATTAACTCGGGAATTTTCTTCTAAATGGCAGTGATTTAATTGATTCTCCAATTTCCATTATTTAACTTTACACCATGCTTGTATTATTCCATAACATTCGAACTCTTCCATGTGATTCCAAACTTAGGATAAATAATTAATGGACATCCATAGGTTGCTTTAATTGAGTACAAATCCTTTTGAAATAATTTGAGGTGTGCTCTGCCAAATAAAACCTCAAAACGCATGGCCCTCACTTAATTAATTTTAACTCTTTAGAAATCGAGGTGTGTCATTAGTTGAATTTTCATGGCCCTCGCAAAGTTGCAAATGCGTAGTTGCTTTAGGCGCGTTATTTTAATAATTTACCTTCCTAAACTCGGGTGCGCATTTATGTGACCCAAATCCAAATCTTAATAACGTTGAATAAAATGTGTTTTGGATCGCGGGTGCATTTCATGTGACGTGGTCCAAAGACATGTTTTAGACGACGTTAAATCTTCTTTAAAATTAATAAAAAGCGGTTAATAAGTCAAAATTATACCATAGGTTAAAACATGTATTAAAATCAGATAATAGGCCAATTGTAATAGTTCAAGCGACCGTGCTAGAACCACGGGATCCGGGGGTGCCTAACACCTTCCCCGGGTTAACAGAATTCCTTATTCAGAATTTCTGGTTCGCAGACTTCACAAGTAAAGTCGAATTTTTCTCGATTTGGGATTTAAAATAAACCGGTGACTTGGGACATCAGAAAACAAACCATCCCAAGTGGCGACTCTGAACAAAAAATGAATAAATAATTCCATTTTGAATAATGTCACTTAAAGTGGAAAAACTCCCTTATATACTATCCTCCGGGGTAGTGTGCAAAAAAAGGAGGTGTGACAGGAGTCTCTGCACTGACACCCGTCACAAAGGCTAAGTATGAAAGACAACCCATCCCAACCATCTGCTGGGCCTTCAGAAATGAAATCACCCTACCGGGGACAAAATCAGTCGAACCTAGCCACTCAATCCGTGGCACACCCGGCATAGCCAACATCACTGTCTTAGCATGATAGTCTAATATAGCACGACATGGGGATAACCAATCCATGCCCAAAATCACATCGAAATCCACCATACAAAGAAACAAAAGATTCACTCGGGTCTCCAGACCCCCAATAGTCACCACACACGACCTGTATACACGGTCCACAACTATAGTATCGCCTACCGGAGTAGATACACGAACAGATAAAACAAGAGACTCACTGGGCGTATCCAAATAACGAGCAAAATATGATGACACATACAAAAAAGTGGAACTAGGATCAAATAATACAGAGGCATCTCTGTGTCAGACCGAGACAATACCTGTAATCACAAGATCTGAAGCAATAGCATCTGGTCTCGTAGGGATTGCATAGAAACGGGCCTGACCACCACCTGATCAACCTCCCCCTCTAGGGCGACCCCTGACTGACTGACCCCTACCCCTAGCGGCCTAAGCGGGTGGTGAAGTAACTGGAGCTGAAGTCGAGGGCTGACTCATTTGCTGAGATAGACCCTCAAGAAGACGAGGACACTGCCTACTTATATGTCCAAACTCTCCACACTCATAACAACTCCTTGGTGCGGGGAACGGGGACTGAAGGGAACCCCTAGCACCGGTATATGACCAGTAGAAGGACCTGGCATGGAAGAGACCTGAACTGATGGAGCACGAGACGAACTCTGGGCTGGTAGAGCGCTGAGTGATGAATGGCCCTGATGAGAACTATGAGAACCATGGCCAGAAGATGCCCCACAATGAGCTGGGCGAGCCGACTGAGCATGCCTGAAGGGACGGCCTCTACCGTGCTGAAACTGGCCTCTCGAAGAAGCGCTACCAAAACTACCAGATCCTCGAGGCCTCTTGGCCTCCCTCTCATCTCGCTCCTGGCGACGAACTGACTCAATCTCTCGAGCAATATCAAAACCCTGCACAAAGGTAGCACCGGACATCTTATCCTTGGTCATGAGAATCCGAAGCTGATATGTGAGGCCATCCACGAACCTCCTAATCCTCTTTCTATCCGTAGGAACCAACCAAACAGCATGACGAGCTAACTTTGAAAATCTCATCTCATACTGCATCACCGTCATATGTCCCTGACGCAACTGCTCGAACTACCTAAGCAGCTCCTCTCTGTGGGACTGCGGCACATACTTCTCCAAAAAGAGAACGGAGAACTGCTGCCAGGTAAGGGGCGCTGCATCAACAGGCCTACGTCTCTCATAAGCCTCCCACCAAGTAAAGGCGGCTCTAGAAAACTGAAAAGTAGTAAATGCTACCCCGCTGGTCTCCAGAATACTCGCAGTGCGAAGAATCCTCTAACACTTGTCCAAGAAGCCCTGGGCATCCTCGCCCTCTGTACCATTGAAAGTCGGAGGCTGAAGTCTACCAAACCTCTCCAATCGACGTTGCTCGTCCTCAGGCAGAACCGGTAGTACAAAACCCTGAGCGGGTGCAACTGACTGGGCTGGAGATGCCTCCGGTGTCTGCAATCCCTGAACAAACTGCTCGGGTGTGCGGGCGGCGGGAGTCTGAGTGCCTCATCCGGCCTGAGAAGTGGCTGCAGTAGTAGAAACTGCGACCGCCTGAGCAAGACTAGTGCACACGGTCAAGATCTGAGCCAAGGTCTCCTGAAGACCCGGAATGACAATAGGCACAGCGGGTGCCTGAGTTGGTCCCGCTGGATCATCCCCCACTGGAATCTGATCATGAACTGGGGCGGCTGGTGGATCTGTAGGTGCTGCCCCATCTGCTGTACGGGCTACACCCCTGCCCCTACCACGACCTCGACCGCGACCTCGACCTCTAGTGGCCCCAACTGGTGGTCGTCTGTCCTGACCGGTAGCACGTGTCCTCACCATCTGTGAGAGAATACAATAAGAAAAGTTTAGTACTAGAATCAACAGATTCGCATGACAAGAATTTCAAGAATGTGGAGTTCTTCCTAAAGGTTCTGCAACTTCCCGAGGACAAGTACAAACGTCTCCGTACCGATCCGCGAAACTCTATTAAACCGGCTCATGACCCGTGAGACCTATGTAACCTAGGCTTTGATACCAACTTGTCACGACCCCAAATACCCCGGTCGTGATGGCGCCTATCACAGTACTAGGCAAGCCAAACCAACAATTACCACATCGAATTCTTTTTATAAAAATAATTTTCTAAAACCGATTAAGTCTCAAATTCTTCATATGAAATATATATACTATCAGAAATAAGCAGAAAACCAGTACAAAATATTCTAACACATTCCGAATCTGGTGTCACTAGTCAAGAGCCTCTAACTACAACCCAACACTGTCTGAATAATACATAATAAGTCCGAAAATAACAAAATACTAAGATAGGAAGGAGGAAGGCAGGGCTGCGAACGCCGTGCAGCTACCTTGCGATCTCCGGATAAGACTCTGAGAGTGCTGGACGCTCTCACTCTGATGCTCGTGCACCTGGATCTGCACACAAGGTGTNTTTGCGCGGTCCGCGCTGGGTCTTCAGAGGGTATATAAGGTCGGGAATTTCAGTCATTTTTCACCTTTTCAAAACCCAAAACATAAGAGGCGATTTTCCAAACTATTCTTCTTCTCCAAAACGATTAGTAAGTGATTTCTAACTCATTTTCTTTACTCCTTAACATCTTTAAACATAATTTCAAGTTCAAAACAAAGATTTTAATGGGGAAATTTGGGAATTTTGGGTAGAACCTAGGTTTTCTAAAATTGGGGGTTTTGGACCTCAATTCGAGGTCCGATTCCAAAACAAATTGTATATTCGGGCTCGTGAGGGAATGGGTGATATGAAATTGGTCCGAACCTCGGGTTTTGACCAAGCGGGCCCGGGGTCGATTTTTGAAATTTTGGGAAGAAAGCTTTGAAAACTATATTTAGGCATTGGGTTTGATTTGTTTAGCTTATATTAATATAGTAAAGTCGTTATTTCATAGATTTGATTGAGTTGGAGCCGGATTCGAGAGGGAAGAAGGTCGTTGTGGATTGATTTAGCTGTGGAAGTTGAGGTAAGTGTTTGGTTTAACCCTAGCTTGAGGGAATAGGAGTTGAGTCTTGTTTGCTATTTGCCAATTAATCGAGTACGATGTATAGGCATGGTGACGAGTATCTATACATTGGCGTCTAGCATGACCGTGAGTCCTTAAAGGGTGACTATCGTGATTTGTTATGAATTCCATGTTAATTGAGGTTTTCTATATATTGTAAAGAACATGTGAAAAACATTATAACCATTTGATTTTCGTGGTGTTTGGGCTTGGTTGTGATACGAATTGAAAAGGTAACTGAGATTATAAAATTCTGGAGAGCATTGGCTCCAGTGATAGAGTGAGATGTGAAGTAAGAAATGAAAGAAAGCTAATGAGTTATTGGTTATTTCCTTGCCGGGATGTTTTGCTGTTTGGTAGACTTTTTCTCCCTTGCCGGGATTCCTATTTTGTTTTGTTTATTTCCTCGCCCCATTGGTTGTGATTTTTGCTTGGGTGAGGAAGAGTGATAAAGCACGAAGGTTGATGCCGTGCACGATTTGTGTTGAGAATACGTTAATGCATGAAGGAACATTCCGTGCCATGTTTTGATTATTATTGCACGAAGGAACATTCCGTGCCATGTTTTAATTATTAATGCACGAAGGAACATTCCGTGCCATGTTTTTATTATTAATGCACGAAGGAACATTCCGTGCCATATTTTGATTACTAATGCACGAAGGGTCATTCCGTGCCATGATATGAGTGTTTATGTGAGGAAAAGCACGAAGGGTGATGCCGTGCACTTTATATGATTGTTTGGGTGAGAATGAGTTAAAAAGCATGAAGGATGGTGCCGTGCGAGTGTTGATTTCCTACTCTCGTTGATATTGTAGTTGTACTGTTTCATTCCTTAATTATTGATTTTATACCTGACCTGTTACAGCCCCTACGGCATGCTCCCCCTCCCCCTTGACTG